ATTCAGGAGATGTAACTTGAAAAATATGTAAACACGAGGGTGTGAGGGAAGGTAAAGGATATAAAAATTGCTTTAAGTTACATACCTGAAAATCACATTAAAAATATATATTTACACAAATATATTGGTTTAAAAACAATTTTAATATCTTAATTTATGAACAAAATCATGTTTGGTTCTGTACCTGCTGTTTTGTTTTATTTGATTAGTATTTTTAGTATCTGAGTTGATGAGTTAAAAACAAAACAAAGATTGATTCCTAGCACTGGTATTTTTATTTTCACTGGTTTCAAATTAATGTATTAATTAATTAATTGTTTTCACCTTTTCTGTATTTATGTTATTATAGTCAATAATACAAATAAAACAGCACCAACCAATTAAAGCATTTTTAGGCATTAATTGCTACTATAATAGAATTTCATTTTACAATAAAAACTGACTCCAATAATACATACACTTTAAATTCTCAATGTTTATCCTGAGTGTAGTTAGAATATAGAAGAGTGAGTTTACAATTTTTATATGAGAAATCGTGTTTTGGTCATCAGCTTTGCATGTTTTAGCTGCTGGATATTAGTTTTGTTACCACTAAGAATGTGGAAATACCGAATAAATTGTTTCACTTTGGTAAAATCACAATACTACATTATTGTTCTCCCGAAAAAATACTATCATAGAAACCTAGAAAAGAAAACTAGTGTTCAGAAAAGTTTGTTTCTTTCTGGTTACTTGATATTTAAATTAACTCACAGAAAGTGTATTTTTGCTACATTCCAGAATTCTTTTATAAATTGTGTACAAAAATTTTGGTACTTTTTGATCACTTTGTATATATTCATTAACTCAGAAACTGATTCTCAATAAAAATGTAATAATGACATACATTTTAGAACGGATTCAAAACTCATACTAGAAGTTTGATTACTTGGTATTTTAGTTAACTCCCAAAACTGACTCTCAATGGAAATGTAATAATGGTTTATTTCAAAACATTCTGTGTTGTGGTTATCGTATGACTAAAAGCTACAGAATTACGTAAGCCTTGATAAGCTTTACTGTATCAAATGAGCCTACTAGTTTTCCTTTTTGCTTGTAGTGCCAGATGAACCAAGAAATGTGAAGATGGAGCCTGTTAGTAGCACCAGTCTTCAAGTTCAATGGAATCCTCCAGCTAATAAAGATAAAAATTGGCCAATCAAAGGTTACCAGATCCACATCCAAGAAAAGGATCAAAACAACGGCTTGGTTGGAGCACCCATCAGGTTTCATGTAAGTAATGAAGATGTGGAAGCCTATAACATTACGGGGCTTAAGCCAGATACAACTTACGCTGTACAGGTGGCTGCTGTCACTCGGAAAGGTGTTGGAACACGTAGTCATCCAAGAACAGCAAAGACAAGAGGAGGAGGTGAGACAGTTGAATGGTGACACTCCCATTTTACTATATGATATACGAGCAGAGATATGTGTATTCAAAAAGGACAATGAAATAAAGGAAAGAAGTCATCATAAGTAACATTAAACATGTATGTATTTTTGCTCTTTATAGATATGCTTTTGCTTTGCCGTTGTCATTTTTTTCAAAATTGTATATGTATCACAATAAAGTGAAGACTAGTAGAAATAGTTATAAAGAAAGCATTGTAGAGAGAATAAGATTAATGTTAGAAATAGTTACAAAGAAAATAATGTAAAGAGAATAAGGTGATTAGTAGAAATAGTAATACACTATTAAGTGTATTAAGTGACTAGTAAAAGAAGTTATATAAAAAGTATTTTAGTGAGATTGAGTGACTAATAAAAACAATTATAATGGTTGGTAGGTTGTTTGGTGCTTTATGGCGCAAAGCAACTAGGCTATCTGCACCAAATAACCAGTAAATACAGTGAAAGTAAATTAGAATAAAATGTAAAAATACAGTGAAGTAAAACCAAAATATGTCGATAAATGATTTATATATGATTAAAAAGACCTATAGTGCATGAAAAATTAAAAATACAATTTAGTCGGACAGTGTCGCCATTACCAATGACACTGTCCAACGTCAGGGGTAAACTCTTAGAAAATGCGTGTCTGAAATAGTGCCGCCGCTCACGGTCGTAACGACGGCACGACAGTAAAATGTGGGCTACTGTGACTTGAGTGTCACAATGGCTACACATTGGTGGGTCAATACCGGATAAAAGAAAACGATGGGTTAAAAAGCTGTGACCAATGCATAGCCTTGCCAGGACAACTGCCTCCTTCTGATCCTTATGGAAGCAAGATGGCCAAAGACCAACAGAAGGTTTGATCTGGTAAAGCTCGTTATGACGTTACTCACCCCAAGTCGACTGCCAACTGGCACAGCCGTGACGGGACCAGAGCAAACAGATTTAGCTGCAGTGTCAGCGAGCTCGTTCCCGTGAATACCGACGTGGCCAGGTATCCAGAAAAACTGGATGGAAGCAAAAGATAGAGAAAATTGGGCCAGTTGTTGTTGAATATCGACGAGAACATGGTGAGAACTAACGTTAAGCGATTCCAGGGCCAGTAGAAAACTAAGAAAATCAGTGTAAATAGTACAATTACTGTACTGCATAGCTTCTACATGATCCAGGGCAATAGAAATAGCATACAACTCGGCAGTGAACACAGAAACTGTAGAGGGGATCCTGCGAGCAACTACCAAGCCACACCACACCATGGCAGAATCTACAGTGTCACCCGATTTTGAACCATTCGTGTGAGTATGAAGAGAAGAATGACTCGAAAGATGTTCAGCAAAAAGAAGACGGTACTTCCAATCGGGAGTATCCACCTTCCTTAGATGACTCAAGGAAAGGTTACAGGATGGGATGGTAATAAGCCATGCTGGAATGGGCTGATCATTGGGGACAGCAGTGTCATCCAATGCCAGACCCAATTCATCCAGTTGATTTTAGATATGAAGGCCAAAGGAATAGCAGACTGTCTGTTCTGAAAGAGCATTGCCCACTGGGGAAGAAAGACACAATTCCAGGTGGGATGCCGTGGTAAGGATCGAAGCTTGGTAGCATATTGTAAAGAAAGTTGCAAATGGCGGAGGTGAAGAAAAGGTTCGTGGGACTAAGTGTACAAACTCTGGACTGGAGAATTGCAAAAAGCCCCAGTGCAGAGCCTAAGCCCCAGATGGTGAATGGGGTCCAGCATCTTCAAGGCCGAGGTCCTGGCAGAACCATAAACCCATAGTCCAGTTTGGATTGAATCAGGGCACGATGGATCCTGATCATAGAACATCAATATGCTCCCCAAGAGCTGGAAGAGAGGACACGGAGGATGTTCAGAGCCCTTGCACACTTGAAACATAGCTGCTTGATGTGTGGAATGAAGCTAAGCTTACAGTCAAAAATAAGCCCCAAGAACTTTGCCTCAGGGACCACACAAATAACTATATCGCCAAGAAGGAGCTCAGGATCGGGGTGTAGACCCCGTTGGCGGCAAAAATGCATGCAGACGGTTTTGGAAAAAGAAAATTTAAAACTGTTTGCAGTGGTCCATGTCAACAACAAACTGAGGGCAGTCTGAAGCTACCACTCAATAAACCTCATGTTCGACGACTGACATGAGATGTGGAAGTCATTGACATAGAGCCCATTTGGAACAGTCAGAGGCAGATTATTAGTGATGGCATTAACACTCAAGACACAGCCCTGAGGGACTCCAAGTTCCTGTGGAAAGGAACTGGAAAGAGTTGAACCCACACAGACTTGAAATCGCCTGTTCAGTAAAAAGTTTTGAATAAAAATGGGTAAATGGCCACGCAACCCATAGGAGTGGAGGTCGTGCAAAATTCTATACCTCCACATAGTGTCATAAGCCTTCTCGACATCAGAGAACACAGAAATAAGATGTTCTCTCTTGAGAAAGGCTTCCTTGATCGAGAACAAGATCGAAAGAGGATGGGAAGCATACCTCCCAGTGACTTTCCTAATCTTGTCCCATACAGTTTTGGAACTGGTGTTAGAAGAGATGCTAGTAGTGAACTTAATCCAAGACTCCTTTTGGCTTGTATGTCGAACCTGCCGAGCATGGGCATGGGCCCGCTGATAAAGAATGTGGTTAGAAAGAGGGGGATACCATTGTAAGGTATCCCAGGCCGTTTTTGAGCTTTCCATGCGTCCATGGACGAGGATACCGTGGAAAACGTGTCGAGGTCTTAGGAGTAAAATGAGCAGCTGCCTGGACGATACAGTCAGTCACTGCAACCACACAATCGTCTATTGATGGCAGACAGACAAAGGCAGGATCAAGTTCAGAGAGAGTGGTGAAAGATGGCCAGTCAGCCTGGTCCAACTTCCACCATGGCACTCGGGTCGTGTGGCATCAACCATGGCCAACCTCCCTCATAATGATAGAAAAATAATCACTGCCCCGTGGGTCACTGTCCACCATCCAAGAAAAGCGAGCGAAAAGTGAAGGGGAGCAAATTGAGAGATCAATAGCAGTAAAAGACTGACTAGGTGCATGAAAATAGTATATGTTCCAGTATTGA